TTATGCTTTATTGATGGCTTTTCAGCAGCTGCATCCTATCTAGACTACACCATAAAACAGTAACATAATTAAAATACATGCAATCACGATTTCGGAGTATTTGTACAAGTTACGATTTTAACCCAAATGCCATTTGAAGAACAGTAACAACATACACATGCATGGTCCACTAGGCTATATGAGATAGAAGTTATGTGTCAAATGGAGTCAAATGGAGATTCGCCAGGTCTCGAAACGCTTCTGAACTGATCAATGCTTTGAATCGCTTTAGTCACATGACAAGGTGTTTCGAAACACTTTAGTCATGTGACCAGGGTGTTCGAATCATGCTTTGGTGCACTGTTTCAAAACACTTGCACTTCGGGATCTCGACACTGTGTCGAAACGTAAGTTTCAAGTCAGCTATCTGTAGCTGGTGTGGTCAGGTCAGAAAGGGGGTTAGTGTATTGTTTTATTTTCTTTAATACATTAGTGTAATTAGATTGAAGTATTGGAGTTAGGAAGTTTTTGTTTTTGTTGGCACTGACCCCTCCTGAAGACTTATTTGCTTATGTTAAATACATTTTTATTCTATTTGACACTAAACTTGGCATTTCGTGAGTAAGTAGAAAAGAATCTTTATCCAAACTTCACCATATTTTCTGTATTACTCCTTCCCAGCCTTAGACTGGGGAGGATGTAATAATCTATATGCTACCTCTTGGACATTTTTATATGGTCTCGGACCATATATAAAAATATGGTCTGCATGATCATTGCTATGCCGGTGATACACAGATTTTTATTAGTACCAAACCTGATGATACATTTGCCCTTTAAATTTTATCTGCTGAAAATTCAGTCCTGGATGAAACAGAACTTCTTAGAACAAAATTGTTCAAAAATGTAAGTTATGTTGATGGCTACTGCCACTGCTGTGGATGAGTTCAAAAATGTAAAACTTAATGCGGTTACGTGCCAGAATTCTCAACCTTTACTAAGACACGAAACTTGAGTGTGATATTTGATGCACAGCTGACTTTTGATACTCATTTTAAGAATATTACTAAAACATATATTTTAATCTTTACAATATTGCACGGGTAAGACCATTTTGATGCTGGAAGACTTATTTATGCCTTTGTTATGTCTAGGCTTGACTACTGCAATTCCCTTTTTTACAGGATTGCGTGCAAACATATGTTTAAAACATGTTTTAGGTCATACTTTATCCTGTAGCCATATTACACCATGTGCACTCACAACTGCACTGGTTTCCGGTGCAGTTATATATCCGGTATAGATTTTAAGGTACTTATTTTAACCTATAAAGCGATACATGGACTGGCCCCAAAGTATTTCCAAAATTTGGTTTTAATGTCTACATAGTGTTGGTCAATCTGCTCTAGTCAGTATCTGACATTATACAAGCCACACTGTAAACTTAAAACTATGGGGGCATAATAGGATTGTTAAAGACTGGAGGAAGTTAATAAAAGGGTCACACAGTGACTCTCATCAAGATTACAAACATCAGCTCATAAACATTAGCATATTATGAGGTCAGAATAAGAAGACAGACAAAATGACTTGCCTGTAGATTGGTGCTCAGTAACCAATGAGGTAAGTGCTTTAGGACAAAAGGAATTGTACGCAATTAATAGTACTCATATACATCACATGCATTTTATTTATAATAGTTAACACTTACCATATACATCAATGTTGTACTTCCGTTTTGAGGTTTTTCTGTCGATAACAATGAAGGCTTCATACAGTCCAGATTCATTAATCCTGATGTTTGAGATGGTTAGAACTCCAGTCTTTCGGTTTATGTTCACTTTGCCAATGAATCTCTCATCATAATGGGTATAAATTTTCCCTCGATAAATCTGTGCGACACGAGAGCATTCATAAGACCATGCTATTTGATCCTTTTCCTTCAGATCAATTCCTGGATGTAGATTTAAGACATCTCCCTCCATAACATCAAAGGATTTAAATACATCATCCCGTCCACAAGCTAGAACAACACAAAACCAGATTTGATTTGGGATAAAAATGCAACAAACTCCAAATGTTTGTCTGTTGTCATGCTGAAATATTGAAGAATGTGTCTGAAATATTGTTATGGCTTTTTTTTCATTTATGTTAAGCTGTTTTGACACAATTTACATTGTAAAAGGGCAGTAGAATACAGATAAAGACAATGACATGAACCACAATAGAAAAACCTAAGGCAGGATGTAGTTTTTTACGTCAATTTGCCATCTGTCTGTTTAATATGGTCATTTCCTAATGTACATTTTAAAGTTTACCTGCAATTTATAAACCTAAAGGAATATTTTGGCAACATTTTTACAATAGCCTGAATTTACAACTTCATTATGTTTAATTTCAGCATCATCTAATTTATTCACTTTTTTGGGCACAGCAGTGGCTAAGAATTTGCTGAGATTTTAGAAAAAAAAATCTTAAAAACATTTCATGTATTAATTGCAATCTTTAATTAATTAATAGTACAACTCATTACAGCAAGACCTCTCCAATGTATTGACATGTTACAAAGCGACCTTCACCACTTAAAGAGTATATAACTAGTACTGAAATTACTTACCTTCCATGGTGGTGAAGAACACAATTAAAACCCACATGCTAGTGAACATTTTGAAGAGGAGTATTTAATAATATAGGTGATAGATAGTTTGATGCACCTATAGATTGAGCTAATGAACACAGAGGCTTTTTGGTCTCTGACTTTGACCAGGAAATGATCACTGAAAATAAAATGAGCTGCTATCCACTAGGTGGCACTAAAACCCATTTTACCTTTCTGATTTTGAAATCAGAACATCTACCTCATTCAAATGCCCATATTATTTATTAGATGTTCAACCTGGTAATAAGTTTCCCTTCAAAGTAAGTCTTGCTTCACATAGTGCTAGATTAATATACTTGTCTGGTTTGGAAGGCTAAAGTCAGCTTTATTGTCAATTTGACCACATAAGGAAATACAGTGAGTCACGCTCAGACCCTATAGGTGCCAGGTAACATTAATACAAGAAGTAGAATTTTAAAAAGAAATACACTAAATACAATTGCACATATGATGTCATCTAAAAATATGAGTAAAAATAAAAATGTTAAACAATGCAATTACACTTAAGGGCACATGGCAAGGAGTGCAAATCAAACTTTTTGTTTTTCAGCATAAATAAATAGTTTATTCCTAAAGGTTTTGTTAACAGATTATTTTTGCTTCTAAACGGTAAAATGCAAAAAATAAATAAAAAAATACATAGAAAAAAATAAATAATTTGGTTTTAAAGATAAGCAAAAACCCATTTTAAAAAGAAGCATGCTTTGTAAAACCTACAAATAACCTTTCAAATCAAAGCTTTTAAATAGATTGAATAATATAAATAATTACTCCCCCACACATTATTTATTAGAGCATAAATAAAGGTATTTATTTATTTATTTATTATTATTATTATTATTATTATTATTATTATTATTGTTATCATTATCATCCTCGTCATTATTATTATTATTATTATTATCATCATCATCATTATTACTTTTTTAATTATTATTAACATCATCAATATATATTTTTTATTCCAGCCAAACTAAAACAAATAAGAATTTCTTCAGAAGAAAAAAAATTTAATAACAAAAACCGAACATTAATTATATGTAAAAATTAATTACATTGAGGGCAGATCATTTGTTCTTTAACTATAAATACAAGTTTGACAACTACTGTAGGTTTAAAAAATAATAAATGATATATATATGTGTGTGTGTGTGTGTGTGTGTGTGTGTGTGTGTGTGTGTGTGTGTGTGTGTGTGTGTAAAAAAAAATATGTTTTTGAATACTTTGTGTGTTCATGTACATTAGGTCAGCTGTTCATGATACTGACCTCCCCCCAAGTTTCTTTTATTTTATATTAATTTTTATTACTACAATTTGTGAATATAAATGTATATATGACTATTAAATTATGTATTAAATATCTGTTATTTACGTGTGTACTGTGTAATAAAAACTATATACAAATATGTAAATATTGGCTGCGCAGTGGGTAGCACAATCGCCTCACAGTAAGAAGGTTGCTGGTTTGAGCTTTGGCTAGGACAGTTGGCATTACTGTGAGGAGTTTGCGTGTTCTCCCCGTGCTCGGTGGGTTTCCTCCGGTGCTCCGGTTTCCCCCTCAGTCCACACACGTGCTATGGGAATTGGGTGAGCTAAATTGTCTGTAGTGTATGTGTGTGAATGAGTATGTTTGGATGTTTTCCAGTGATGGGTTGCAGCTGGAAGGGGATCCGCTGCCTAAAACATACAGTATATGCTGGATAAGTTGTCGGTTCATTTCGCTGTGGCGACCCCGCATTGATAGAGGGACTAAGCCGAAAAGAAAATGAATTAATGAATAAAACAAATGTTGTGCTTTCATTAGTGACCCCTTGTTGATCTATCTCCTTATAAGACATGTAAATTGTTCAGTGGACTTAAGTTGACGTTTACTTAATATACTGGCATGCAAAATGTATTGTATATACTTCGACAATTTACTTTTTTATAAGTATGCTTAATATGCAGATAATGGAGAGCATTGTGAGGCAGCTTATATTGTGGGAAAATGTAGTAGAGCCTGAGAAAATATAATTGTGGTGTCTAAAAAGGCCCTTGGGCTCAGTCCAAAAATCACGCCCAGGGCAAAGTTTGCAACAATCAAATATGCATATATAAGCTTAGCTAGTGTGTTTCTCTTCTCCATCTTTTGTCAGCTAAATACACTTTCTCTTTTGACATTTCGATTTTCAATTTAGATCCTGTTTGCTCAAAATATATTATGTTGTAAGAGATTTCCATCAAATGTTTTTTTTTTATGTTTGAAGATGAGGCCAACTTTTATTATGTATTTTTTTTTGTCAAGCGCCCTACTTCAGATTGTTTTCCGCTGATGTGCGTGTTTTTGTGCTGAGTTTATCTAGGATACTTTAATCAGAAGAATATGGCGTTCAGTCCAGGTAAGAAAATAATTGTACTTTAATAGATGTTTAAAAAAAAAAAAAAAAAAAAAAAATATATATATATATATATATATATATATATATATATATATATTTATACTCTGTATAATTTCCAAGACTTAATATCTAATGGAGCACACACTGTAAATCTATATTAATTAATTTCGTCAGTATTAAGCGAGACATGGAAAAAGTGAATGTAGACAAGTTTATTAACAACGAGCTAATCACAGGGTGGATGGGGGTATTGTTGACCCCCGTAGTTAACGATTAATCCCCCTGAAAAACAAAATGTATGGGGGTTCAGTACTTTAATAGCGAGGAGTATTTTTTCTAATCTGCATTTTAAATGACTAAATGACAATATTAATAATTACAATAACGTCTAATATAAGTATACATTTCACCACCCCTAAAACGGTTCATACCATTGTGAATAAATAATCGCGCCACTTACTGTATGTGAGGAAAGGAAATTTCAACCAACAGTAACGTTCACCGGCAGAAATAGAGCAACGATCGACGCCGTAAGTGTTTAAAAGACGGTTTTCCTGTAAAATATGTGCTTGTTTTTATATATAGCCTAGATGTAAGTAAAATTATAGATTTTATAGTTTGACCTGCAGTAAACTCTGAAATTGCAGAAGTTATGTTGAAGAATATATCGGTCAAAACATAACAAAAAATAATGTGTATTAAAAAAAATAAAAATAAAAAGTTTGTGTATTACCAAACATCACCCCCCCCCCATCGTCAATGTATAACTCGCACTGTTTAATACTATACTGTACATACAGTAAGGTAACATAACAAGGTTTGTCAGTTGTCACCATTACCTATAACTTTTGAAGGAGTTTGAATAACAATTATTCAACATTCAAAATAATTTATGCATAAAAACAGGTATCCTTTTGTCATTATCTATATAGCTACAAACATTTATTGTGCAACAGTGCAAGCATAGCAGAAAAAATGCAAAATGACATCAATGCATAAATATCATATTTCAATGTTGACATAAATAAACAATAAATGTAAGTCTCATTCAGCGCCCACACTATTCCTTTGCAGCTATTTGTCACCAAGACATTATTTGTCACCAAGCTCCATAAAATGAGTAAGCACCATAACAATTAAAAATACAGTCGGGGCACATAATAAAAAATAAAATCTGTCAGCCATTGATTTGGTATTAGATTTTGGCATACTAATTATGATAATAAAAAATTGGGGGGGAAAAAAAAAAAAAAAAAAAAAAATATATATATATATATATATATATATATATATATATATATATATATATATATATATATATATATATATATATATATATATATTTATATATAAACTGAAATAGATATTTATACTGTAGCATCTGAGTATGTATAACCTAACACAGTTTGAATTGACCTGAACAGTCAGTTAAAAAGCAAGGTCACAGACAAAAATTTGCATGTAAGGCATTTGTCAATAAGCTACAGTTTATGATAGGAATAATTAAGTTTTATCAAGGCCCATAAGGAAATGTTCTACAAGTACAAAGTACATTTGTTTTTCTGGTTAAAATTTGACTCTGCAGATTGCATGATTGTAAGAAAATTTGTGTGGTGAGTATACAAGGGTTAGATTTATAATAAAACGTCACCTGAAGCATGATAAGGGGATGTAAAACATTTTTACAGTTTCTCAGTTTTTTGTTTTTAAAGAAAAATATTTATTCAAGTCTTTCGCCATGCAAATATATTTATATGAATGCATCCAGGTTAAATCTTTATCCAAAGGCAACTGCATTGCTTTTTAGTATAAAAGTTTTTATTAATAATTGTATTAAAATTAGTATACAGTGTTAACAGTACTCACATTCCTGATAATGAAGAATCATAGGAAAGACAAATATAGATAAATAAACATTCATGAGTGTATAAGAACATTTATATTGAGGACGAAACCTACAAAAACAATAATTAATTAAATACGCAAATACATAAATAAATGTAAATAAATCCATAAATTATTGCACTGATTAAATAATAAATAAATATGCAAATAAATAAATACATGTATTTGTATAATTGTGTGGGTAGGTAAATAATGAAATAAATTACATGAATATTGGGGGAATAAGAAAATGCTGAACTGAAAGTATAATGAGAGGGTGTCTATCAATCATAAAAAGGTGGTCTTTATGCCATTATTGGTTGATCGTTAAAAAAAAAAAAAATTGCTCTTGATTTTTTGGACTGGCTTCTGATGATTGATCACTAGCATGTTGAGCTAAAGAAAAGAAAACATGCAAATGTTTTCAAAAATAAATTGACATTTGAAAAGCGTAATAAACTTTTAGTTTAGCATTTTCTTATTCCCCCAATATTTGTGTAATTTATTTAATTATTTACCTGCCCACACTATTAATTATGTCTATATTTATTTATACAGGAATTTGTAGATTTTGTATACAGGTATACATTAGTTTTTTTATTTACATATTTATTTACCTATTATTTTATTTATGCAGGAATTTATGGATTTATTTACTCTTTTATTTATATATTTGCGTATTCATTTATTGTTTTTGCAGGTTTCGTCCAATTGATGTTACGTAATGTCTTTGCCTGTGTGAACAGCGCTTTATTGAATTTACCTGTAAAATTGTTCTGGAAATTTTCCAGATATTTACCAGTATTACTGTGTGAAAGGGGCTATCTTCGCTCTAATTTAATGTATCAACAGTTTTTTTGCGTCACTTTAATCTTCAGTTTCTCATCTAATTTTGACCAGTCAAATTCTCTTTAGTATTTGACATAAAACAAAATTTTATTTATTTATTTTTTTAAGGGAATTTACTCTACTTTATGCCACAATCCCTCTCTTCATGATTATGTCTTAACTCTACCACATTTCAAAGCACTTCATGGGACCTTTAACAAAATAATCAGTAGGCAATAGGACCGAACTCAATATTTTTAGCAGATTTTTAAATTGAACAAACGTCAAAACATGTTAAGTAATTCATTAGCAACTTATTGGCTGTCAGAGTTTGAATGTGGCAGTATATGCATATTTATGTAGACATGACATAGGAAATTTCAGGGTATCTTCAAAGCAGAATCCTTTAATGAGAACTCACTGTCACTGTGTCGTTCATGGAAAAATCTGAACTACTGCAGCTGGCACTCAGTTAAATACACAATTTAGGGGCAGTGCTTATTAGTAGTTTAGTTAAAAATATATATTTTCCGAATCAAGGTATTATATGCATTGGAGACATGATACTGTATTACACACATAAGCAGTCAGACCTGATGTGCCTCGAACTAAAAATTTGCATTACTCTGGAGAAACGGTACTGTCTCTTACACATAAACAGTAAAGCCTGATCTATTTACAATGCATTTTACAAAAAAAAACATAATTTATATATTTAAAAAAATTGTAATCTAACATTATTCACTCAAATTGTTTCTACAATTAGTATACAAGTAAAAAATAGTAGTAAAATAAGTAGGGTTGTAATGGTATATCTTTATTATAGTTGAAATGTATTATCACTGATGTCTTTTTACTGGCAAAAGATATACACAGAAAAAAGCTACACATCTTTCAATACATTATTCATTTCTTTAAGTAAAGTTGAATTTTTTAACTTGTGTTTTTATTTGCAGTTAAAAGACGCAGTCCATCTGGCGACCGACCTAACAGTAAGTCAACAATTCTACCTTAGCATTCTAAACAATGATATTTATGCTGTGAATCAGCATAAATAAAATTTCCTGACAGACTTTAGCACTAAAAATAACTTTATTTTACTATATACATAATTTTTTAGATTAGTGTTTTTTTTGTAATATTTGATAAAACATTTTTTATAAAAAAAATATAATAAGAATGAACACATTGATCAACAATTAAATTGTGCCTTGTTTGTTTAATAAACATAAATGTTTAAGTGATTGTTTGATTTAGTTATTATTTCAGCATCCTGCATAACTTAAACAGTTGTGTATGTACTGTGTGTGTGTGTGTGTGTGTGTGTGTGTGTGTGTGTGTGTGTGTGTGTGTGTGTGTGTGTGTGTGTGTGTCTGTGTGTGTGTGTGTGTGTGTGTGTGTGTGTGTGTGTGTGTGTGTGTGTGTGTGTGTGTATGTGTATATAGTCAGGGCCGGAGTGGGAGCCCTGAAGTTTTAAGCCTTATACTGGCCTACCTCAGTTCATGACTGACTATTAAAATAATGTAATTTCCAATTCAGTTTCTAGTTGACACGATCACGTCTGTTTTAAGGACACAGCTGCTTTAGAACTTCAAATGTTTTTCATAAATTTGAGAAGATTAAAGGGTGGCTAAATCTCAAACAATATTCTTTAAAACATCACAATGTCCAGTCCTGCAATATCTGAGTATATATTTTGTGCAAAATTCTTTATAGATATCCTGTCCTTTGTAATAGTGGTTACACAAAAAATAAAAATAAAATATCTTAACCTCAAAATGTTTTAACACTAAAAATGTAAAAGATAATACTCAGGTGAGGTTCAAACTTGGGTTGGTGACATCGCAACGTTACGTGCTGACCACTGGACCACAATGGCACTGTTATACCAGTGGGTTTGGAATAACAAAATTAAGTATTGCACTGTCACCTGCAAGACTCTTTTGATCACAGTATTACTTTCTATTGATGGCTTAATCTTATTCTCCCTTTTTAGATTTCTGATCAAGTTATGTCAGATTTATTTATGTAGTAAATCATCCAATTTTTGAGCAGGTGTAATGTTCATTAATATTAATTATTCTAATTCTTATATTCACTAAGGTGCCGCTGTTTGGGGTCGAATGATAGTTACGTCATCATTAATCTGCAGACTGTATTTTGCTCACAAGGCTGCGAGAAAATAAATAAAAGGTCGGAGCTGCGGCAAAATAATGAATAAAAGAGTGAGGCTATGATCAAATAAATAAATAAAGAAATGAAAAAAGTATGACTGCTGAGAGTGCAAGCAGCTAGAGACACCAGTTCTCGCGGCCAAAAACACGGACTGGCCCACCGGGAATTTTCCCGGTCCTCTCAATTAGCCAATCCGGGCCTGTATACAGTTGAAGTCTGAATTATTAGCCCCACTGTTTATTTTTTCCCCCAATTTCTGTTTAATGGAGAGAAGATTTTTTCAGCAAATTCCTAATCATGATTGTTTTAATAACTCATCTCTAATTTGATTTGGAGATTTATTTTATCTTTGCCATGATGACAGCAAGTAATATTTGACTAGTTGTTTTTCAAGACACTTCTATACAGCCTAAAGTGACATGTAAAGGCTTAACTAGGTTAATAAGGTGAACTAGGCAGGTTAGGGTAATTAGGCAAGTTATTGTATAACGATGGTTTGTTCTGCAGACTATCGACAAAAAATTAGCTTAAGGGGGCTAATAATGTTGTCCTTAAAAAGGTGACAAAAAAATTTAAAACTGCTTTTATTCTAGCTGAAATAAAACAAACAAGACTTTCTCAAGAAGAAAAAATATCTACTTTTTATGTACTGAAAACATGTTTTCCATCATCCCTACTGTGTATAAACATGTTGATGCACTTGTGTGAACTATTATAGCATTATAATTCTACAAACTGTGTTGTGTGTGTTCCAGTGAGTGATCTGAGGATTGTTCTGCTGGGGAAAAATACTACAGAGAACAGCAGTGTGGGAAACTTCATCTTAGGAAGATCAGCGTTTGAGAGTGAAGCACCATCTGCTGATGTAGAGCTGCACATCGAGAGAGAGAAAGGAAAACTGCAGGACAGAGAGGTTACAGTCGTCAACGATTCTCAACTGCTGATCCCAGATCTGTTCAGCTCTCAGATCACACAGACAGTGAAGGAGATTGTGAATCTGTCTGCTCCTGGACCTCATGTGATCATACTAATACTGCAGCAGAACCACTTCACTGAGGAAGACAGAAGGAGAGTGAAATATGTGCTGAATGAATTCAGTGATGAAGCCATTAAACACACTATAGTGCTGACTGAAGAGGAGGACATAAACAATGACTGCATTCACCAGTTAATACAGGAATGTGGAGGTGGACATCTTCAGTTTGATCAACAAAAATCTGAATGCCAATCTGAAATACTTAAAAGAATAAAAAAGATTCTCAAGGATGAAGAGGTTGAGTTTCTTATTTGTGACATGTATGAAGAAACAAGAGAAACATCAGCAGATGAAGAGCAAAGCAGATCTGAAGGTTCAGTTACAACAGAGGAAGAGAACTTTTATCTGGAAGACTGTGATCTGGAAGACTTTGGACACTTTAAGCAGAGCAATAAAGAAAAATTGGATATTGCTGTTCAAGGTAGCATCTTATGTAAGATTTATTCGCAATATTATATTTGAGAACAAGTTTACACTTACACATAAACATTGCTCAACTCAAGAGAAAGACTTTGAAATAAAATAATATTAATTTTATATATACAGCAAACTTGTTCAGTAAACACAGATAGGGCATTTAAGTCATACTCAACAGCTTGCTAAACATTAAAGGGTTTTAAATGCACAAAGCAAACAATTGCCCCACTCAAAGCTGGATTCTAACTACCTGTGCATTTAATGATTTTACTATACATATTCTAGCCAATCAGAATGGAATAAATAAAGTAGGCATAAAAGTAAGGAATTATTGACAACAAGGTGCTGAATTCCTAGAAAATAATGCACACCTGAGGTGGTGAAGCTGTGTAGCAGAGTGGCCATTACACCTTGGGTCAGCATTGTTTTCTGATATTTCACCTGAGCAGAGTCAACTATTTCTTTTAAAATATGGTTACAACACCTACAAAGTTCAGATGTTGTATTTTCAGTCATTTGACAGGTTTTTGTCCTCAAACTGCTTCTGTATGCATAGTACAATTCTTATGCAAGACTTTATTTAATTTTGATTGGATTTTTGACTGTTTGTTGGTCACTTTGAATGCCAGGTCATTAATTATACCCAGTCTGATCTCACGAGAAAACTAAGTATTTTACGTTTTGCCAGTTTAGTGGCTAATTCGTACGAATTCGTACAAGTTCAGTCGTACGAAATGGTACGATTTTAAAAAGGAGGCGTGGCACCTAACCCCACCCCTAACCCCAACCGTCATTGGGGGATAAGCAAATCGTACTAAATTGTACGAATTAGATCCTACGAATTCATACGAATTAGCCACTAAATTAAAAAGTTACGAATTGCCGTGAGATTGTGTTGTTATACCTTACAAACACACACACACACACACACACACACACACACACACACACACACACACACACACACACACACACACACTTTTGTTTTGGATATTGAAAAATAGTCAATGTTTATTAGGTACTTGCTGTAACATTATGAAGTTACTGTTGGGGTGATTGATAAATCCAATCAAATCACTTTTATTGTTACATTATCAGCAGCACGTGTGACAGTACAAAATACAGACAGTGCAAATACAATAGCCCCTTTCACACATACAGACCTTTCCGGAAAATTGCCGGCAATTTTCCGGAAAGGTTGTATGTGTGAACAGGTCCTTTTAGAAAATACCGGTAAATTCGTTCTGGCTATTTTCCGGAAAGAGAAGTTGTAACATTACCGGCAATTTGCCGGAATGCTGCGCTGTGTGAACGCAGAAGGAAGATTTCCGGAATAAGCTCGTGCACGTCTAGAACGTGCTGACGTGAGACGTCTGCTTTAGCCAATCACAACAGTCAGACGCATTTACGTCCGCGCGGTTTGTGAGAATAAAAGCCTTTGAATATTTTTCCAGACACATTTAGCTGCTAGAAGTTAGTCAGATCACGTTTATATGTTCTTCTTAATGCCAACTGTGCAAACAATCATCGATAAGATGCTTATGATAAGCCGTTGTTTGTTTACCTTCAAGCTTTGCGTGTGCCCATGAAACAGCCTGTGAGCGTCAGCACACGCACATATTATGAACATCTCGACATGCGAATATGATCCAGTGAAAGTTGTTTACAATATTGATCATCCACAGAGTTTGTAATTTAGTCAAATGTTTACAAATACAAGCGCAGCCGTTTAAAGCTCATTTGTGGTGAATGATGTCAGAATTTACCGGTATTTTGGAATGGATGTGTGAATGCTCTTTTCCGGAAAATTTCCGTAACGTCCTCGCCTGTGTGAACAGCGCTTTTTTGAATATACCGGTAAAGTCGTTCCGGAAATTTTCCGGATATTTACCGGTATCACTGTGTGAAAGGGGCTAATGACAGTGCAAAATACAGACAGTTCAAATAAAATGACAGTGCAAATACAACGATAGTGCAAAATATAACAGCATACTCCTGTATGAGTATGCTGTTGAATATAAAATTAAAAACACAGGACAATGTAAAACTGATAGTGATATGTGCAATGAATAGGTGTCCACATAGTTGTAGGCAGTACTGTTTCAAGTATGGATTGGTTAAAGTGCAGTGCATGCTACATATTGATGGTGTACGGTGAAGGGTATGGATAAGTCTGTGTGGGGTGTGTTAAGTGTTCATTAAATGTTGATAACAATGCTATAATAATAATAATAATAATAATAATAATAATAATAATAATAACAACAATTAATAGCAACCTTATGAATTCAATAAAAACACATAACTGACCCACAAATCAATTGCTGTGTTTGTTTTTCAGTGCCAGAGGCTGTCTGTGTTTTGGCAAAGCTGAATGTGGTTCTGTGTGGGAGAGACAGAGGATTAAAATCCTCCATATCCAGGCTCATGCTGGATCAGAGAGACAAAGAATCAGAGCTCAGCTCAGAGTGTGTGAAGCTGGATGGAGAGGTTGATGGACGTCTGATCACTCTGGTGGAGCTTCCAGCTCTGACTCTGCTCTCACAGAAAGAGGAGATGCGTCAATCTCTCCGCTGTGTGTCGCTCTGTGATCCTGGAGTTCATGTTTTCCTCTTTGTTATTCCTGATGGTCCACTTACTGATGAAGACAAAACAGAGACAGAGAAGTTTCAGAAAATATTCAGCTCAGAGATAAAAAACCACATCATGGTTCTCATCATCCAGAAATCTGAGCACAGGACAAAAGGACCAAATGAAGCAATGAAGGCTGTCATTGAGTGTTTTGGGGGAAGACATCATTACCTCGAGCTAAATACACAAGTGTCCATGTTGGTGACCAAGCTGGAGCAGATGGTGGAAGAAAATGATAGACGTTTTATTTCCACAGAAGCATTTTTGGAAGCACAAATGGAGAAATTTGAAGAAACGAGGAAGAAGTTAATCTCATTAGAGACACAGATTCAGCAAAAAGGTAATGACTAGTTATGGTTATGATACACCAAAATTTCAGTAAGACACAAAAATATTCATTCATATATGTTTTGCCATAACTTTCAGGGAGTTGTCAAAAAATATTGTGCTAATATAAGTTTTCATTTCACCCAGTTAAAATGTTAGTGTTTTCTGCAGGGGTTGATTGTGCAGAATTAGGCAAGGCAAGGTTATTTCTATAGCACATTTCATACACAGTGGCAATTCAAAGTGCTTTACATAAACAGGAATAAAAGAAACAAGTATAAGAAAATAAAAACAAATAATACAAATTATTAAAAACAGATAAAAATGGGTTAAAAACAGGTTATAAAGGAATACAAAAAAGAAGAGAAAGACACAATAGTGCGATCTGTCTCAGTGCTCATTCAGTAAAGGCGCAGCTAAACAGATGTGTTTTCAGTCTGGATTTGAATGTGCTTAATGTTATAGCACATCTGATCATTTCTGGAAGCTGATTGCAGCAGCTGGGGGCGCTGTTAGTAGCTGAAGACCGAGCATATCTGTAATGTATTGAGGTTCTGGGCCAGTGGTCACCAAACTTGTTCCTGGAGGGCTGGTGTCTTGCAGATTTTAGCTCCAACTCTAATCAAACACACCTGAACAAGCTTATCAAGGTCTTACTAGCGTACTTGAAACATCCAGGAAGGTGTGCTTAGGCAAGTTGGAGCTAACGTGACTTCAGTGACTTATAGACCAGTAATAATACTTTAAAATCTATTCTGAATGTAACTGGAAGCCAGTGTGAAGACCTGAGGACAGGTGTGATGTGCTCTGATTTCCTGGTTCTGGTCAGAATCCTGGCAGCAGTGTTCTGGATAAGCTGTAACTGTCTGACTGTCTTTTTGGGAAGGCTAGTGAGGAGGCCCTTACCGTACAGTCACACCGAAAGCGGTGAGAGTGTCCAAGGTCGCTCTGGCCGCCCTGGCGACAACGCTGTCTGCCTTCAGCTCTGAATAGCCTAAATGCCAACATTAACCTGTATACTCTGTCTACATTATGATTTTATTGTTTAATTAATATTTATTTATAATTTAAAAACCCTTTACTCACCAAGATTAGGCTACGTGTTTTTGTGGAGGAACATTATTGAATCCATTGTAAATGGCTTTAGCGCAGTCCTGCACTCAGGATGGTGCTTTCAGCAGCACCGAACACCCTTTCACTGCTGCTGCTACAGGTTGAGATGCAGGTCGAGTTCTATTCTGGTTAATTTTGCAAGTTTTGGGTATTGTTTGGGGATTGTTTGTTCATCTTCTATCAGCCAGGAACATCTATTTAATTTTCCATGACAGCAGTTTCAATGTAGCGAGTGACATAAGCAAAGTTACAATTGAAATATATGTGGGAGAGCATTGCATTACAATATGTGTGTTTAGATGCATTTAATCCTTAATTAAAACTTATTTACAAATAGGTGTAAGTAAAATTGTTAATGGTTTAATATCATTTTTTTGGGTCACACTTTATTTTGTTGGCTTGTTTGTTGAATTTAAGTTACATTGCTACTACATGCCAAATGGACTATCAAAATAAAATGTTACCGTTTTTTTAATTAGCTACAAAATAAATGTATGATGTGATAGAACATTTAGGGCTCTATTTTGACGGTCCATGTGCAAAGTGCAAAGCGCAGGGCGCAAACGCTTTTAGGGCGTGTCAGAATCCACTTTTGCTAAAATAAGGACGGGAAAATCCGCTTTACGCCTTGGCGCATGGTTTAAAAGGGTTGAGCTTGTTTTCTTAATGAGTTATAGGTGTGTTTTGAGAATAAACCAATCAGAGTCTCATCTCCCATTCCCTTTAAGAGCCAGTTGCATCGCGTCATAGCACATTTGCTATTTACATGACGCACTTTGTAAGTGGAAAAACTGAACACTTCACTAGAGAGAAAACAGTTAAACAGAGTATCTGCAGCAGGAGAATGAGAGATAAGGCATCTCATAATCTACTTTCGCTCTCCAGGATAGGGAAACCTTGTTCACAGATACATTAATTAGCCTATACATAATTAATTTTGTTTGTTAAGCGCAAATATTTGTTTCAAAACTATTTCTGAATTCAGTTCTAATTTCCAGCAAACAAATAAATGAACAATAATAACAAAATGTGCTCAAAAACCTGAGTTATATCCTAAAACACATGCTGTGCCCCATATGGTCTGAAACCTGACAGGTGGACAAATCTAAGCTTGTTTTTAATAAAACAAATATAAATATGCATATAATAAATAATACTGCTAATAATAATAACATTATACAAAAGCAAATTGTTATGAATGAACTGAAAAAGACCCCTGAGATAAAGAAGGCATGAAGGCGGTTGTTTTTACATTTATGTTGGCTAGAAAATGATGTTTTGTAATATGTTAATCCTATATATATATATATATATATATATATATATATATATATATATATATATATATATATATATATATATATATATATATATATATATATATATTCTTACTATATCCTATATATATCCTTCATATTTTAATTTTTTTTCATATGTAAAGATATTTGCGTATTGCTCTACATCTTGTGTGTATTAAGCAGTGTGTAAGTGAGGCACACAACTAACAAGCTCTGCGCTGGACTTTAGACCGGCTTTGTTTTGGTCTATTGAAAAATCTATTATAGTTCCTCAAAATAGTCCCGCGCCAGCGGTCTGCCTCAGAATGCCTCAGAACACCTCCCTTTTTAGATCAGTGCGCTTATGTGCGCACATATGAGCGCAAATGCATTTGCTATTCAAACAGCGTGGCGGAAAACATCAAAACGACTCTCGTGTGAAACTAAAACTAGCAAACAACTATTGCGTTCCCCCTTGCGCCACATTGCGCCGGGTGTATGATAGGGCCCATAGTATTAATTGTAGCCAGCTTAAATGTAAAATCTTAGAGACCCCCGAACACACCAAACCAACTAGCCTGACGGGCGGGCCGACAAAACACAATAGCTGTGTGCCGGTTTGGTGTGTCTTGACCCTCAGACACGACTTTAAAAACACAGGCTCTAGCAGTGTGACTCAAACAGTTTTCTCTTTACAGGTTTAATAGAAGGTTCAGATGATCTGAGGATTGTCCTCCTGGGGAAAACTGGAGTTGGAAAAAGTGCAACTGGAAACACTATCCTAGGAAGAGAAGCATTTAAAGAAGATGTTTCTCAGGAGTCAGTTACTAAAGAGTGTCAGAGACAAACAACTGATGTTGATGGCAGGTCCATTACTGTGATCGACACTCCTGGACTGTTTGATACTAAACTTAGTCAGGAGGAGATCCAGAGAGAAATCACTGAGTGCATTTCATTGATTCTGCCTGGACCACATGTGTTTCTTCTACTGATACCAGTGGGACGATTCACTCAGGAGGAGGAAAATGCAGTGAAGAAAATTCAACAGACATTTGGTAAAAACTCCTTAAAGTACACCATAGTGCTCTTCACCAGAGGAGATGGTCTGAAGAAGAAGAATAAGACCATTGAAGAATATCTGGGTGAACCTGGATCGTCTCTGATGAACCTCATTGAACAGTGTGGAAACAGATACCATGTGTTCAATAATAACGAGACTGAAGACCGTACACAAGTGACTAAACTACTGCAGAAAATCAATGACATGGTGATGAAGAACGGAGGAAGTTACTACTCCTGTAAGATATTCAGACAAATGGAAAGAGAAAAACAAGAAGCACAAATGAAGATGTTAATGAATCAAGTAGAGCAACTGAAAAGAGAGAGAGAAGAACTCCTGTCTGAACATGAAAAAGAGAAAGATAAGATGAAGATGAAGATGGAGGAGGAAAAACAGATTCATGAAGCAGAAAAGAAAATAAGAGAAAAAGAATTAAAATTAAGTGAAAAGCAGTATAAAACAGACATAATGAGAGAAAAGGAGAAATTTAAAACAAAACTACAAGTGATTGAGAAAAACAGAGAGAAAGAACAAAACATGTGGGATAAATGTAATTTCAGACTTAAAGAAGAGAGAGAGGAAATCAGAAGAGAAAAGGCAGATCTTCAGGCTAAACATGAAGCAGAAATAGAAAAGATGAAGACAAAGATGGAGGAAGAAAAAAGGAATTATGACACAGAGACCATGAGAAGAAAAGTAGAATTTAGTGAAAACGAAAAAAAGATAAAAAAAGAGATGAAACAAATGCAGAAATATAAAGAGGAAATGGTAAAACAAATACAAGATAATGAGAAGAAGAGTAAGAAAAAAAAAATAAGTTGGATCAAACAACATGAGATGCTCACAAAAGAAATCCAGAATGAGAAATCTCTGAGAGAACAACAGAGCACACTGTATGAAGAGAGAATTAAGTTAATAGAAAAACAGAAAAAAGATGAACTGAGACTAAAACCAGCAAACTATGAAGAAGACAGAAGGAAGGAAATTGAGGAGATGAAAATGTGCTGCTTTTCTTTACAGGTCAGTAACTGAAAATTCATAACCATCAAGTTGGATTTGATTCTGTTATTTATGAGCAAAACTACATAGTTTTCTCTGATATTAGAACATACAAGCATTTTCTACAATATACACTTAACTTTACAGTAAATTATCCTCAGAATACTGCTCTAAATGAGCTTTTCTTATCTACAGTATGACCTCAAAAGCTTCATTCTCTTCTAAATTACATGAAAATGTTTAAGGGCGTACTCGCACTATGTACAGTTGCCTTGAACCGGGCCAAAGCACGCTTGTCCCCCCTCCCGTCTCCCCCGACGGCCCGCACTCACACTACAATCGGGCCTAGGCACGCTTACGTCATCGATGATGCACAGTGAAGATTTCTATAGTTATATTACTTTAGTCCTTAGGGATGCAGTGACACGCAGTCAGATATTTCATCAAACAGATCCGCCACTTTTGGCGCTCATAAACAATCATAAAGTCCTCGTGCTGCTGTAATGATTAGGTTTGCTGAAGGTGCAGCTTTAGTGCAGTGAGGGGTTTGCGTCTTTAATAAACTACGACTGTTT